TTGAAGATCATCGAGCACAATTTCACATCGTCACATTTGTGGTGTTGCGTTCAAATTTGTTATCGCCTTCGACGTTTCATCAGTCTCTTAACTTGGCTCATTTCAGAAATATCAGTTTGCACTGTGACAATAACCGATTTCTTGCTATTGTGAAGGGGATTTAGCGAACAACGTAATAGAAAGACACTAGCGAATAATATTCTCACAAGCATTACCCATATTACTTCTAGATCTCTCAGGGAATTGCCACGATAATCACCTCTAGCCAACTATCACACTTATTTCTTTTTTCCTTCAATTTTGCTGCAACTTGTATGAATTCTCTCAAAACCTGCTCAGACTGAGAGTCACCTGAACAAAACATTTTCCCACTTTCCATTTCTTGTTTGATTCAATCACCAAAAAATGCTATCACTTCTAAATTCATGTCATAAAACCATAAATCAATATCAAAATTATAGTGTCATAAAATCATCAAAATTTATTGTAGTATCAGCTTCTCCGATCAATCATACATTACGCAATGTGCATGAGTGTGCATGTAGAAAACACCCTCGTAAAATTCATTTGTATTTATTCACATTCAATAAATTTAGACAATTAGTGAAACATCCAATAGCATATTCTTAAGACGGTTTACAACAGAACCGGTAGTGACAATAAATAATCAGTGATTCCAGTAAACAATGCAAGAAAATGCAAATAAATCAAAGAATCAAACTAAACAAAAGGAAATTAGCTGAAAACATGATTACAATCAATCAATCAAAACGAATAAAATCAGCACAATCACATGAAAAAATTATGATCAAGTCACTTTCACAAACATACAAAATTTCACAATATTAACATACATCCGAAATTAACGAATAACAACAACAAAGAAATGAATGAATATTAAATTATCAACAACAGCAATCAACGAACAGAAATCCTAATATTGAATGAGCAAGCGCAGGGGTGAACAAAGCACATCACTTATAAACTTGAAATAAGAAGAAAATTCGCAACAACTTAAGGAAATAAAAGCAAATCCGTATAAAAAGCAGCTGAAAACGTTCAACTGCTATGTGAAATCAAATAACCTTTAATGACAGACTGCACTCAATAATGCTCATCAAACCCGGCAAATCAAGTAAATACTTTCTATACGCTTTTAGGGCAGTAAATGCTCTTAAATCATAAGTGAATAAATTCTTCTGCAATTACAACGGTTATTAACACGAATGTGCAACTCTCGCACACAATTTTTAGCGTCGAACAACCATTTCAACATTTTTTTGATACTACGAAACTATATTCTGAACTATCATCTGAATGTTGCAGATTCCACGTCTGAGTCATCGACGATCCATTCGCAAAATTTTGCACATTCTTCGCAACCGAAACGACAATTTTGAAGGCACCAATAAGAAAACAAATTCGCGAACATCGAATTGAGCTGATACAATAAATATTGATGCAGTTGCTCGGATGATAAGTTACTGCGAACTTATGATGATTGCATATTCCCAAGTTATGGATCTCCATACAGTTAGGGAACATCATCCTGTAATTCTTTCTTCATTAGACCGATTCGTTGACCAATGCGTTGTAAAGTGCTCATATTGATAGCTGAAAGTAAGTAAAGCAATGAGACATTCATTCTATGAAAAGCACTCAAAAATTCAGCTATTCCATGTGAACAATACTGATTGTGAGAATGTTTCGAGTAAAAAGTGATTACGAATCGGTAAAATGTTTGAGAAATTTACCATTTCATAATTTTGAAAAAAAACACAAAAATTCTTTCCGTATATGAGATTATGTTTTGAAAAAAACGGAACAACAATAAATAAAGTTTTCTCTTAATGTGGATAAAATTCAGCAATTGCAATGCGCATTTCGAACCTCTCTCACCACTATCAACGCTTGATTTATTTGCTTCTCATCTGTATGCAAAAAAAAGGAACGAATAAATGAATGAATACAGCATCAAATGAGATGATTAACGAAAAACGCACAATTTGCATCATCTGTTGGTGACGACTGTTCACTTTGATCCAAACGAATTCGTTTACCACTCCACTTGGTTGCTACTTGCATTGGCACTGAACTTGCCACTGAAATACTCTCGTTCAATTCAGTTTTGATGATGGACACATACGGATGGTTTGCTGTTGTACCTGCATAGTGAATTTGGTCAACGTGATGCTGCGAATCCCAGCGCTTCAATGGCGACTCGTTCGGTTCGCTTTTTATCGCTGACGATGGCAGCTGATGGCAGCCACGCTTTTTTGGTGGTTTCTGTTTGGGGGTTCCGTTTCGGCTTAGTAGTGCCATGCGTTTTCGTTTCTGTCTTTTAGACTCTTGCTTGGACGCTTTCGAAGCATCACATAGCAACAAAGCGCTTTTCGATAGCCGTGAAGAGGCCGCCTTGACGGCACGACAGCATTTCCCAGCGGCCGTTGCTGCTTTCGGTGGCCTCTCTTTTTTGGTCTTTTTAGAGGTAGGCGACTCTTTTTTAATTTTCCTAGGCTGCGATTGCTTTTTTTTGTTCATTGAAGGATCACCTAGAGGGACTGATTCGCCGCTATTTGGGGACGACGTTTTGGCTGCGATAACTAAACTATTATTACCAGGTTGATGGGATGAGGATGAAGGATCATCGTATTGAACTTTCCACTCGAATTGCTGATTGTTGCGTTTAGTTGGTTGAGTGGATCTTAGATGAGATTTATGATGTGAGATCCCCCTATTGATTCCCCTTTTCGATGCTAATACATTTGATTTGTGACTATGACTGGTGTGCACATGGCGATGATTCTTTTCTGATTGGTGGCGCTGAAATTAGTTTGGATTATCTGAGGTGCAAAAAGAATCAATATGAAACTATAACGACTGTATTCAGAATGAGTAGTAGTCCCAAAACGTTTGGGATCGTCAAATGGGAAGGATGACTGACGTTCCCTTAAGAGGACTATTGGTTTTTGACACTGACTATTAAATGATCATCTATCGATCATTTAGAATCGAATGTATAGAGGAATAGTGTCAAAAGTAAACTCTTGAAACTTGAGGAAATCAGATTAATCACAGAGTGTTCCGAATACTGAATGCAAAAAATTACATCGAAAGTTACCGGAAAATTATTCAAACGAATACCTTTGTAGTACTATCCGAATGAACCTCGGTGTGATGCGAAGGTTGAACTGACTCTGGCGATTTCGTTTTTTGTGACTCTGGCGTTCTATAAACGTACCACTCCTTATTATCCGTATCACTTGGTCCGCTCCGGCGATCGTGCTGATACCTGAAATCATCATCATTTCCTCAATCCACGGATATGTTCTTCTAAAACCGGACAATCCCGCACATCGCCATGTCCTCAAGTTTTACAAAATGCCTCACACTGGAAAAATCTACCCACAAATGAAAATCACAAATGACAAAAAGTGTGAACCTCTGCTAGAAATCAAATTGACAGTTTAAAAATTTTCATGTACACTAAAATCTCGAGAAGATACCTGGCATATCCACCGTTATCGTACTGATTGTGTTGCTCTTGCTGCTGCTGTTGTTGATCTGTTTGCTGGTCTCCACTGATGGCATTGCGGAAAGATGGAGACGTTTGATAGGGAGTGTGTTGTCGATGGTGATGCCAACCGTTTGAATATTTTGTCGAATGATTGTTGCTGGTAGCGTCGGTGTTACTGCTGTCATATCGATGCACTTGCTGATCAGTATTATATGTTGATGATGCAGAAGAATATGGAGCTGAGTTGTAGCCGTTGTTCACTGGAGGCGTTGGTGGAGTCGGTAATAGGGTTCGATGACGAGTCGGCTGCATTGTTAGGTTCGACTGATTACTCCGATCAGTTTTTGGTGATGCTGATGAAGGGTGTTGGTTCATCTGCAAAAGCTGAGCTCTTGTCTGAGACTGCGCTATCTCGAGCTTAGACTTCAAGCAGCCACTTGTCGACGGTGATTGCGTGGGCTGAAATTGAGGAGTAGGAGAATGATCGTTGTTCGAGGATGTCTGTCTGACTGATGTTAACGATGCGTTTAGCAACAAAGACAGAGGCGATGGTTTCGCGATATGTTGTGCCTGTAATGGTGTGGCATCCGCAACATCATCAGATGACATGAGGGGATTCCGTCGATTCGAGTTTTCGATCAGATACTCGACGTGAGTGGTTGAGATCGATGAGACATTTGCTGCTACGGTTTGTGATGAAATAAGCTGAGGGTGGGATGAAGACTGACAATCATTATTAGCGACACAACGCTGTGATTGAGGATGACGCAATACAGGCAGTTCATGGAGATTGGCTGGCGTACTTCGATTATGCATCGCTCGTTCGAAACGTTCTTCATCAGAATCTCGTTCACTGTCCGACGAGGACAGCGTTACTACAGTGTGGCTTTTGTTCGGTGCATTTTCATTATTATTCTTATTAGGATTACAATCACTGGGATTACTAGCACTTGCACTAGCATTCTTAGCAGTGCTGTCGTTATTATTATCGAATGCTTCTTGAATATTTTTCATATTCGTTCTTTTAGGTGTCACATTCTCATCGACTTCATTTTGTTGAGGAGTTGAACATACCGTTCGTGATGATGTTGTATTTTCTTGTGACGGCGTTGCTTCAGCCTCTATCGTTTCATCATTTCTTGTTGGCGTTTTACATTTATTTACAGTTGATGGAACGGCCGAATTCACCGTTCGCGACTTTAAATCTATTGGGAAATAGCGAATTACCTGAAATGAAACGTTCTTAATAATAAGTTCAGCGAATGTTTCTTAAAAAATTTTCAAAACCAATTCAGAGACGTTTACTTTTCTCAGTTCCAAGTAACCTTTCATTCTATTCTCTGAAATCATTCGCCATTTCCACAAATCATTTTTCTACAACAACAAAGAAATTAACAACAACAAAAAACAAAAATTTAATCGCACATGCAAAACATTTCGAAATCAACACTGAAAATATCACACACTACAACGATTACCTCGACCGCTAGGGCTGCATCGAATTTTTTCTTAGCACACAAGAAGACACGGAAAATGTCTGCATTTATTTCAGTTGATATCACCATTTTATGATCATTCTGAAATTTGACAAAATTGAGATAAGAAATTTTTGCCATTCACAACACTCTAAAGTTCTCATTCAATAGTGGCTGAATGAAAACAGCCACTATTGAATGAGAACAGTCAAAAAACATTCATAAAAACATCGCTAAGTTAGGAAAGTAAAAAGAACGACCTGAATGTGAAGCTTGAGAGCTGCTGGACAATTGTTTTGTATTGTGCATCCGTGGATGACACACTTCATCATTCGCTTCATATGGTCTCGTATTACATGAAACTTACGGCCACTTTCCGACTTGTACTGTTTACCGCATTCATTACACTAAAAAGTCACAAAACTATACCTCACAATGAGATATTCTCCAGAAATCCAAGACATTATGACCTTTCCACGGAATCTAATGCAACGAATTCAATTTACTTAACTGCATTCCGATTTAGTAACACAATGATATTACGAACACATTAATACCGCAATGAATTGTTTCTAAAAATGAAAAGCGCCATCAAAATTTCAATAATTGTGCGAAGATTGCTCTCAACGAAAAATATTTTAAAGATTTGAACAAGTGATAAACAGAATGCACGGTTGTACCTGGAGGTCACCAGAAATGATGCACGCCGGGAAACAACAACGAACTTCACATGACAATACATCATCAAAATCAGTCTCATCCACATCATTGTTGTGATGATACCTCATGACGTGTCGCCGTCGACGGACATAACTACTTCTGATTTTCTAAGAATGAGACGGAATTAAACATCTTCAAATATCGTTCCATTCAATGACCTATCTATGTGCACGACAGAAAATTTGCGACTGGCTTTTGAAATTTTGTTCTTCACGTGAAACCTCGTCGGCTGTCAAGAAATGTCACTTTCAAAAAGTAAACTGAAAATTCAGAATATTGAATAGGACTTACCTTGCCACATTTTTGACACACAACTTTATCAAACTGTTTGCTCTTCACCGCTGAATCGAATTGCTGAGCGTCAGACTGTGACGCTTCTTCAACCGAACTCTGCAGAATTAAATAGGCAAAATTTATGAACACGACAGTACAGTGAGGAAAATATGAACGAAATTTGAGATAACCTTTAGAATTCTGCTTTGAAAACAAGTCTCAAACTATTAAAGCCTTCTAAACGGATGGGGATTTGGTACTTGGGAAAACTTGGAAATGGGCGCAAAGAGTCGATCTCACCGCAGTTTTGTCGACATTCTTCGATGGCGCCGCCTCCGAAACTTGTATTTCGGATGTCGCGGTTTCGTTTCGAGATTCCGTCTCTAGTGACGTGCTGGTGCGTTTTTTCTTTTTGCACTTTACTGCATCCGAACTGCTCGTTACATCTGCACAAGGCGTTGTGCTGGAGGAGGTTGTTATTAGCGAATCAGAATTTGTTCGACGTTTCTTTTGCGATACTTTGATTTTGTGTGAACATGCCTTCTGTACGCGTTTTGAATTCTTTTGCACGGAATCGTCAACGTTCGAATGTGCATTCCACTGATTTTCATTTTCTGCCTCATTTTCAACCTGTTCGAAATTATCTTCGTCCCGATTTTCGAGCATCGTCGGATTCGTTTCGTTGTTAATTTCGAAGGTATCCTCAATTGCATTTTGCTGAAGATGTTGTTCTTCATTGAGCACAGTTCTTGATTTCTTTGACGATTCACCCCTTAAATCTTATGATTTTATGACGAACCACAATCTTCTCTAATATCCACGATTGCCGTGTTAGGTTCAGAAACATTACGACAACTGAAGGAACTCAACAAACAGAGGTGGAAATTGCAAACACTCCACTAAATTTTCGATGAGCATTACGTTCTTGGGATAATGGCATTAACTCAAGTCTACATTTCAGCTGATACTGCTGGGCACCAAAAGTGAGATCCACTGAAATGAACAGAAGATTAACCGACTTTCTGGGTCTATTCACGCCTTGGGCTCGAAGTTCGTCCAGCACACGTTCAATACCCAGATCAGTGGCACGCAAACAATCCATATAAATTTTTGATGCTAACAATTCCATGTATTCATTTTTAGAACACTAAAAATGACTGGTCTTTAACTTGCAATTAATTTCCAATGACTATCCGAAGTTCATAAAACTGTCAGCCCGAAACTCAACAGTGACGGTTATATTCCTCGATTATTGAAAATTTTCAATCAAAGTATCGTCTGAAGAAAGAAAATCCACACAACATGAACAACAACAAAATGCGACGAATATGAATGGTTTCAGTGGTTGAAAAATGGAAAGCAAAACACAATACTAAAGTAATCAGTGAACATACATACCTTCATTTGATGACCAGTTTTCCAAGTATGTACCATTGAGGTCTCTTCCGTGGCGGCTTTGTATGCGCATTTCGTGCACATGTATTTTTTGAACGATAAGTGGCTTTCAATATGGCCTAACGAGCAACCTGGCCGACGTTTTTGATCGCTGCATAGGAGGCAAACAACGTTATTGCGGTACTTGCTCGTTCTGAATTAAGAAACTGCAATCAATGGATAACGAACGAGTGATGAATTTCAACTACTGGCAATGCAAATATCCCATACTTGCTTCTGAATCCCGACGACGAATGTCCTTTGCAAACTCACAACTCACAGATAATAGCGCTAGCTTTATCAAAATCATTAGTTTGAATTTACATTAAGTATAATTAATTTGACATGAAATCTGTAGTTGGTATCGTTTAATTTGAGATCTACAATTGTTACCATTCCAATAGGACTTCAGTTCGAAAGTAACCTGACAACGAAGACCACTACAACGCTTGACAAAATTTGGAGTTTACGATCAAATTTTATGAAATTAAAAAAAATATTTTGTAAAAACGTAGTTTGGAGAAAGCATTCGATTACTTTTTACACGGTTTTATTCCACCTCCAGACGCCATTTTGAAGGTTTTCCAATGCGACTATCGTTTTGATCGAACACGCGCTGAATAGAAGCCAAAACGGAAATTTTCGCTATTTTCCAATCAATTAAATGAAGTGACAAAAATTCAGAAAACCTTTAACAAACACGATTTACATTGCAAACATTATACAGTCAAAAATGAGAGTTCTCCTCGGAAACCTCACGAATTCAGGATTCCTAATGCTCACATCCATCTCTCAAAACCATAACTATTCATAACAAACTGAAAAGAGATAAACATTTATTCACAAAATGTTTTCCATGGATTTGAACTAAAATTCCATGTAATGCTTCAAAAACTGAATATTCTTGTGGAGGTATTGCCACAACGATTTGCAGCGCCACACTGCCTAAGCGGTAATTGAGTTTCTGCTTAAACGGTGATGGTTTATGATAAATATTGCTGAACATGATGGAACACAGTGAGATATTCGGATGAAATCAAACATATTATGACGATGAACCGTACACAATCAGAACAGTCACATGAAAGAAGTTAAATCAAGCAGAAACCGATAGTTACGAATACCATTTCAAAATTCAGCATAATTCTGAGATACTCAACTGTATTGCT